GCTTGCCAGGCAGGCGCTTTGCCGCTGAGCTAAATCCCCAGCCCCCACCAGGAGTCTTAAGGTGGTTCATCCTCCAGTGCTTTCTCCTGGTCTTGCTGTAATTGAAATTTAAAAACCCAAGGCTAAAAAGAAGCTTGAATTTTAATGTCAGAGAATGGTTATCAGGTCATGCTTTCACTCTGTTTTTCTTTCACAGGTTTCCTGATCCATCTCTGTGCTCTCATTCAGGATATGAGCATGACTTGTAATAGTTCATAGGGCCCAAGTAGCATGACTGCAGAAACACAAATGTTAAGAGATCATCAAGTCCAGCCTCCTATTGTACAGATGCAAACAGTCATACCCAGGGAACTTGGGGAACTTGCTGAAAGGTGAACAGAAAGTTCATATCTGAAGCTGACCCTTGACTAGAGCCCTGATTATAATCATGGGTCTGGATATCCTCCTTCTCAGCTCTGAGCTTCAAGGAGCATGGTTCAGCATCAAGCTCATTTTCTCACCGAGATCAGGATTATTTTTTCATCACCTTCTGTCAGTAAGTAAGAGGCAGGGGAGAAGGCAAGGAAGGACAGATGAAGAGAGATGAAACCGAAAGAGGCTTTACTTCCTCCTCCCCCTTTCTGATGGTTATAGATTTGAGCCCTGGTTAAAATGTGAAGAAAAAGAGTTGACTGAAACCCCAGAAAAATAGACAGGAGCCCTCACGCAGTGTTACAGCTCAAGGTCTAGCTAGAAAAAGGCAAACCTTGAGTCATCAGCTATTAGTCAACTATTAATGCAAGTTACTGTGAGTGATTACGTAACTACACCATACTGCCCCTTGCCTTCATGGAGCTTGCACTTGATGGGGAGGAATAGCAAATACTCGGTGACCATGTGACAGGAAAGGTAAACTCAAGGTTAGGTAACAGTCAACCTAACAGTAAGAGCTCATTTATTTGTCTGGTGCTAAGTTTAACATAGATCAAAGCAAGATCCTTTATTTCCTTGCATATAATCACAGTATGGTGCTGCCGGCTAGCACTGGGGCCTGGGCTGTTGGTTTCACTTGAAACTGTGCACAGTCACTAGGTGGGCAGTCAGAAGATGTGCAGGCCTCTACCACAACCTCTTCTTTCTAGGAATTAAGGTGATTTTGCTCTCATGTGTGAAGATGAGAGAACATGGCCCTTCACAAACACGATGGTGATAATGACATTAATGCATCACACACTGAACCCCGATGGATGAGCCCGCTTGCATGGGGGAGGGTGCACTGGTGTTGGAGTACAACAAACCAAGCAAGACTGTCCTGTATGACAGGGTGAGTTGTAGAACCTCTTGATACAACTGAAAGCTCAATTGTTCATTTCTTATTCTTTCGTTAGGCATGACGCATGTCTAGACCAGTCGACAAGTGTTCTGCTGACTTAGCAGTGTTAAAGCCATCACTGACAGCCCTGCTACAGCCAAGGCTGAAGTACACTGCAGCATGCACAAGCACCACCTCTTCCCACCCTCTCGGCTCTGATTACAGTCCAAAAGTAGGCTTAGAAGTACTTAAGACCATTTTCTTCCAGGGTTTATACCATACTGGTGGATGGGCTACCTCGAGTTTAAGTTCTGAAGCGCACCAGTGAATAAAGCAGTAACTCTTGCAAGTAATGCAAATTTAGCCTTTGTTGACTCTTTCTTCTTTTCTTTTTTTTTTTTTTTTTTGTTTGTTTTTTTTTGTTTGTTTTCTGGTACTGGGAATCCAACTCACGACCTTATGCTTGCCAGGCAGGTGCGGTGCCGCTGAGCTAAGTCCCCAGCCCCTTAACTCTTTCTTCTAAATAAGAAAGAACAGTTTTGCTTACTTCCTGTGTCCTAATTCAGCCCAATGGACATTAAGCAGCTGCCTTCAGTTTGGAGAATGGCTACATACAGGGGATTGAGTCAATAAGTATAGGAAGGGAAATAGGACCCAGAGAAATGTGCAGAAATATGGATGCAGTGGTATGTGGGTGTGAATTCTTGGGTGAGTGTGCATGGGAGTATGCATGTAAATACATATTCTCCTAGCTTTGTGCACTGAGAGTTCTAGGTGAAGCATACCTAGCACCCAGTTCTTGGTTCTAAGTACTGCTCTCCATGAAAAAGGAAACAAAGTTCCTTAGAGAACTGGGTCCAGAACCGGCAGAGGAAAAGTATAAAAGTGCCTGGGATGACATGCAAAGAAATTGCTCAAAGAATGATAGCCATGTGTTAAAAGGACATGGAAGCTATCTGCACAGGACTCCACCTGTCAAAATCTGGGCCAATTTGATCATCAAAATAATTCATGACAGTAAAGGATTTCAACCCACTGAATAATAGATTATAATAAATTGTTTATAATCAAATGAGTTCTAAAATGGAAGATGAGAAAATTCCTCTTTATACGTCAATGACAAGCAATAAATATACAGAGAAGGATACAATTAGAAAATTACCATTTAGTAAACATCACACTGATAATTCCACCAAGAAACATCCACGGTTGCACTAAAACACGTCGGTAAAAGTGGAATGCATAATGGGATATTTATGTAATTTTTACTGCAAAATAAAAGAGTGACTTGCTGGTGGAGACAGGGGAAGAAACTATTTTAAAGGATCAGTTAACACCACTGGCAATGGGACAAATTGACATCAGTGGCCACTTGATGGCATGCAGTGAGGGGACCACGGCATCATTTCCGTGGTATTCTTGCCCAAAACATATGACCTGGATCTTTCTAACATGACCTGTGATGATACCACAGCATCAGTTCTGTGATATTCTTGCCCAAAACACATGACCTAGATCTGTCTAACCTTGAGGAAGCACAGAGCAAGCCCAAGTGAAGAGTCATTCTACAAAATGCAACCTCCGTAAAAGTCAAGGCCATGAAACTCCAAGAAACTTCCAGATGGATAGAGACTAGATGATATGATCTTGAATTAGACAGACCCTTTAGCAGCAAGTACATCATAGGTAGAACTTGAAAGGGCCCTGAATGAAAGGCATACAAGAGTCCTTTGTCCCGTTCTTGTCATTTTTCTATAAATTTGAACCTTCTCAAAGTAAATTCTTTGAACATTAGGACAGGTTGAGAATCATAGTTGTACAGATTGTAGGGATGATATTAAGCAGCAGTCATGTGTATGTCGGTGGCTCTCAAAGTGCAATCTGCAGACAGATGGCTGTCGGCAACGGTTAGCACACCGCATCAAGAGAGGGAGCTTGCCCCACATTGTATGTGAACCGCCTCCCCAAGCACACTGCGGTTTGGCTGGCGGGTTTGTGAGACCCTGACTCTCTCCACGAAGAACGGAGTGTGTTGATTTACATTCCTGACCAAACCACTCAAGTCATCAGAGACCAACACTTAGAGTAGCGCTCATGTAAATGACAAGGAAGCATGAAGTGAAACATCGTAAAGGAGGGTGTTAAAAGGGGAAGTTCTCTCCTGGGAGAGTCACAGTTAAACATACTTGCAGTCATCTGGCCTCCAAGTGCCCAGTCCAGGATGTATTCATTGAGCCAGTTTTGGTGGATGAGTTGGGTTTCACATCTACCTGAGTCAGCACAGCCACTATAACCCCATGGTTCTTTGGCCAGTGTGGTCTCCATTGCTATAGTCATCAGGGGAGGAAAATACCGTGTCACACTCATTCTAATTCTTCACCAAATGAACACTGTTCAGACTCTTTAAAGAGAGAAGAAAAAGAATTTCAGAAATACATTTAAATGAGTTGGTGAAGGGGAAATTTTTCACACAACTCTAAGAAAAACCTCCCTTGGGCCTAAAGGAAATGTTTCTTGCATATAGCATGCCTAGCACTTATGTGCAGCAAATTGGAAAAGAAACATCTGCCCTTGATTTTAAAAGTTCTTAGTCATCTATTTCCTAATAATTCTCTTATTTGAAAACAATCTTTGTTGGCATGTCCTTCTCACACGATTGGAGACAGTTCTTCCTGCTAGTTTTACATTCTGCATTTTGAGGCAATTCTATTTGCTCATTTCAATCTGTTCTATTGCTGTTGCCAAGAACTTGTACTGCCAAGGTAAATAAGATCACCTGCTTTGTGCATTACAGTTCAGAGTGTCAGGGATTCAAGATCCAGTGCCGTGGCAGTGGCACTCCAGCCTGGATTCCATGGCCTTTGGGAGCATCTAAGTCCACCGGCAGGAGGAACAACCAAAGGAACCAGCAGGGCACAGAATGCTAGCTCAGCACTGTCAGCAACTGCCACACACTCAGGAAGAACACAAAGTCCCTAACCTGATCCACATTAATCAATTGTCCTTGCTACATCAGTCCTTCTGCAGTGCTAGAGGTGGCACCAGTCATGGGGACATCTACCCACAGGTGGTTATTCCACTGGCACTGTTTGTCCTAGATCTCCACAGTCTGTCTCATCAACAGAGCTAAAACTGAGAGAATGAATAGTCCCATCTGGGAAGAGCACAGGCAGGAACAGAGAGGTTTTCAGAGATCAGCAGGACCCTGAAAACCGGGTCATCTTGCGGTAAATGTGGTGGCTGTCAGGCAATCAGAGACCTTGTGATGGGGCTGCATCTGAGGTACCATTTCATTTCCAAATATAGAAAGCATGATGTTTATGATCCCCAGTCACACCTCCTGCCACCCACTGGCTCACCCTTGTGTGGTCCCATCAATGTCAAATTGCTTGGTGGCCCCCCATACTTTACATACTTCCTGCCCCTGATCCGTGCACATAAAATTCCTTCTTCCCTGCTGACTAAAGACCAAGTGCCCAGAATGGAGTAAATGCTCAGGCCTAGTTGTTGATCTGAAATGACACTGAGCCGCTTTTCCTCCTGCGGACTCTACGAGCCTCTGAAGTTTGCTTTTTGTTCATTCCTTATAGGCTGTTCCTTGATCCACTCTCTATATATGAAGATCTGACTTGTCTCAGAATAGGCGAAGCCTACCCCAGAGATCAAAATGTGAACCTAGAGAAAAGAACAATTTACATTAGATTAACCAATAATACAAGCATAGTTCATACAAATACCTCAGGTAATGGAAGGAATTGTCTCATCCAAACTAAACTACCAAAGGTATGACAATGTCCTTTATGTGTGTGTGTGTGTGTGTGTGTGTGTGTGTGTGTTTGTGTAATGATTCTTAGTTGCTATGGTAATTTTCTCTGTTGATTTCAATTCCTTAGATTAACATATGAAGTCCCTTCCAGTCTCTATCATCAAGACAACCTCCAAACTAGGATATTTTTAAAGGGTAGAGGGATGGATACTAATAATTACACCAATGCAACAGATGTAAATAGGATAGCTTCTAGTCAATCGGGATCGATAGCTGTATTTCCCATCAGGCTTTATGGCATCTCACACAAATAGACCCTCAACTAATATTTGTTGATTGAGTGCTTATTAGCTTTTTCCTTCCAATTTCAATTTGAAGTCATTAAGGATTGGGGTCATGTCTAACACTTTTCCAGACCACCCATAATGTTGGATATATAATAGTGGCTCATAAATATCTGTTGACGAAGGTGAGCTATTTTCCCCAAGTGAAAATTCCCTTTGGATAACTTTGCTGAAAATTTAAAGCTAGACAATTTAGTGAGATTTTAACATAGAAAACAGAGTGTTAGCTGGGAATAAAAATCCTCCCAAGATATTCTGTACACCTGAGAAAACCCAAGCCACTGAGGAGACTGAAATGGATCTAGGGGATGATAAAACTCACCTGTCTTTTGCTGGCTATAGTGTGATAGACTGATGAGCTTTGCTAATCTTAGTACGTATAGAGCGGGGAATGGGAAAGGAGGAGCTCAGAAATTATTCTGTTCAGAGAAAAATAACAACAAAATGAATAGCTTTAGGCAATAATAGCCCTCGATAATAATAATTAAGTGCAATAATAATAAAAAAAAACAAATTCTCAGGCCGTGGAAACAGGAAAGCACCTTCGACTCCTGCTGCCTCATTTTACAGGTAAGAAAACTAAGGCCCAATTATGTTCTGAACATGTTGCCCTTTTGGAATAGTCTTGTTTGAAGAATCCGATGACTTTTGATTATCCATTGGTGTTTGCTTCCACACTTCTGGGGAAACTTGAGTTTTTATTCCAAAGCGTTGCTATTTCCCCCCTTCAGATAAGAAAGTGGAAACTTTTAAGTTTTGCCAAGCTAAGGTCCTTCTCTTCTTATGTGGTGACTCCATCTCCCTACACAGTCTAGGTTAGCAAATGTGGATCCATTTTTGGAAGCGAAAGGAAAAATATGAGAAGGAAGAGGGCAAACAGAAGTCATAACCAACGATGGTGCCACCTACCTTCCTGTGTGTGACAACCAGGCCCCTGTCATCATTAGTGCATTAGAGACTCTCAGAAAGAATTTAGATTCTTTCTAAAGATTCTCAGAAAGAACTGAAGAGCTCAGTCATAGAGTAAATTGAGGATGTGAATTTATGACCAACCAGAAAGCTCCATCTTAGATAATGTTACAGTTTTCACAGTGGCCAGAAGTGTTACCTTCATAAGGTCGCTTTATTTTTTTCAAGAGTCCTCTAATATTTCCAGAGTTCTTTTCAAAATTATGGGAGGCAACACCTTAGCATCTATCATTCATACTCAGGCCGCTGAAAGGTTAAATTCATTTCCCAAAGCTGACACAGTACATAAAAGGGAAAGTGTAGTTTATGCTCATACTAAAGCCATTTCTGGGACAATCAGGAAGGTGAAGTCTTCTACTGGCCAATGCCCAAGCTGCCTGGCATTCTCAACCAGGCTGCTGCGACACCTCCAGCTGGCCCCACAACTCCCTCTACTCTACCTTTTCCTTTTTTCTAAGAAGGATGATTTTTCCAGCACAATTATTTTTAAAATCAAAAATACATGCAAGGTAGAGATGAGGGAAGACGGGAGAGGTAGATCTTGGAGATTCCACAAACTGACAAGATTCTCACATCAAGAAATCATTAGTCAGAACTTTAATTCTTTCATTTACCTAGTGCAAACTTGTGGATTGTTAAATTCATTGGAGAAAGAACCGTGCACCCAATCTACCATGCTGTTTGTCTGAAGCTGAGCATAGTGACTACAACAAATGTATGGAATCTGAGTTCTGCCAGGGAGGCGAAAATGTCAGCACCATTTACTTCCACTCTGGAGGGAAGATTTGCAGGTATATTCTTTCTTTAGGTAGAAAAGGTTAGCCAGCAACCCCAGAGCACAGGTTACCAAGATAAATGGCCACTATAGCTTTGAGTTTTCTCCCTTTGTTGGAATTAGTGCCCTTACAAGCAAAAGAAGTGACCTTGGCCAGGATTAAGGCATGTTGAAGGGATGATAAGCAGGCCAGTAACACTGACTGGAACATGTGGACCTCGGAAGGGGAAGAAGGGCATTAGAGTCAGAGATTGGGAGAATACCAACTTAAGAAGTAGAGATCCTGGGCTTACAGTTTGAGTTTGACTATTGCAAAATATCTGAGGTAACAGAGACCAACAACATCATTGATACTGTTAAATTCATGGTCCACAAGCAAAGTTTTGCCAAAAGACTTCTTGCTAATTCCTGGTCACCAGAATGAACTTAGAATTAAGTGAAGTCATTTTAGGAAAAGACCTCAAAGTGCATCCTGACTTACTAATGAGTAAGTAGAGGGCAAGAAAGGCAACACGACAGGCCCAAGATCACGCGAGAGCTTGACAATGAGCACCTGTAGCCAGACTCCTTGACACTCAGACAAGTGTACATCTTCTACATCCACAGGGACTCTGGCCCGCAGGCCCTTCAGGGGCAGTGAAGTTGATTTTCAGACTAAAAGTCTTATCAGATATTTGAAAAAAGGACATTCTATAATGCTAACTGTATCAACATATGAGGAAGCCATAAATATATATGCACTTAATAACAGAGCTTCCAAAAACATAAAACTAGGAAGTTGTATATGACATTTTATTATTCCACATGGAAGAGAAGGTGGTAGGAAGTGGAGTGGTGGAGAGAGGGAGGCACCACGTCAGGTGCATTTATGAAGCTTTTCACCTTCCCGCACAAGCAAGGGAAAGCCTGGTTCATTTCTTACAAGCTTTATGAACAAGCTCACCCTTGAGCCTTGGACACTGGTTGATGTAATTTCTACGACAGTCTAGCCATTATGGAGAAATTCACTGAAGCAGGTGCATAACAGAATGGTAACTAATAGTAATACGAATGTGGATTCAACAGACTGCCTTAGATCTGTGAGAGGTTGCTCTCTACCCACCATGGTGCTGTGTGCTATCAGCCTTGTAGCTTCACAGAGTTTAAAATAAACCTGGGGAGATAAGCCAGAGAGATCTTAAGAAAACAATTTCTGACATTACAGGGCCCATGTGAAGTTCCAGATAATTATTGTAGATACAAAGTCACGAAGGAAAGAGGACACTTAAGACTGGGCAGGGTTGAAAAGGAATGGGGTATGGGATTCCAGGAGTGGGTGTGCTAGGAGCAAAGGTTCAAAGGCAATGATCTTGGCTTCCCAGGAAACAAAAAGCAAAGCAGACTGGCTGCAGAGGAGCTTCATATAATAACCCTGCCCTCCAGATGATCAGAGCAGAGCAAGACCTAAGGTTATTGTTGGCTAGGTCTTTCACCATTCAAAAAACAATGTACATGTTTGACTCAAACTGTGATCAGGGACTGTGGGCCAGATGTACCCTACAGGAGGTGAGAAGAAAGCAGAAAGCCCTCCTCACCTCATGCAGGGAAGATAAGTTCTTTATGCCAAGCAGAGGCCCCACAATGGCATCAAAAGCCAAGGTCTCTGTGGTTGGTATGATGGGTTTCCCAGGCAGGGGAGAGCAGAGGAGCTCTTTCCTTCTCTAGAAAAAAGGAGAGAGGTTTGCTCCAACACAGAAGCAGGCAGGGAGGGAGCTTGAGTGACACTGTAAGGAAACAGAAGGGTTGATGTTCTTCCACCCCACACAGTGGAGCTCACGTTTTGTCCCTGATGTTCCCTGGGGATTTTGTGCATAGTCTCTCCCTCTCTGTCAGGCACTTGTTTTCTCACCATCTTGGCATTGTCTTCTTTCAGCTGGAGGTGCCTCCATACCATGTGCTTATCGGCTCCCCAAAGTCAGAGGCCATTTCCTCTTCTCCTTTAGGTGCCACTAAAGTCCAGGACGCTGCAGTGCAGTATGAATGGATGCAGTTAGTGCATCTACTGCAGCTCTCGCTACCAGGTCCTCCATGTACAGGCCAATCCCTCACGGGTTAAGGTAACTAACTGTACAACAGGCACTTGAAAGAAGCAGCCCCCAGTACTGGCCCCTGCTGTGTTGTTCAGCGTCTGTAACTCTGAGAGCACAACTGACTTCTCCTATCTCACTACAGAATTCCTTGGCACAAGAAAGAATGAAGCCCAGCCGGGAACTAAACCCAGCTTTTGAAAAAGTATACAGTAGAGCAGAGGATGTTATGGGTAAAAAAACAACAGCAACAAACATGGGGGTGACTAAGTAAAGCTGCACAAATTAACTATGCAACTCCCAAGGACCATTGCTAATCCATCATTTGAACACAAAAGCTACAAATAATTAATGAGTGTCTGTAACACAACACACAGAGCCGGGGGCCAACATACGATCCAGCCACAAGCTCAAAGCTTAACTTTGAACAGTGAGTAGGGCTGGAGTTCCAAATTGGTGATATAGCCAACCAATAAAATTTAAACAAAAATGTTTTGAAATTCATAGATGATGTCCCAAGGCAGAAAAGTACCTTCTCTTATGCCCCCCCCCCAAAATACAGAAGAAAGTTTAAAAAAAAAGCTAGAGGAAGAAACATGAGTTGATGCTGTAACATCTCTTGGGGAGTGGTTGGAAGAATGAACATTGTATAGTATATAATCTAGGGCAAGGCTTCTAAAACTTTAATGTGGGCACGAATCACCTGGGGATCTTGTTAAGACGGACATTGTGATTCTGCAGATCTGGTGGGAGGAAGGGGAGTGGGACTCCGGATTTCTAACAACCACCGAGATGCAGCAGCTCCTGCTGCTGTTGGTTAAGGGGCTACACAGACAATCGGGGCAGCCCTGGGTCATAAGCAAGCTGCAAGTGGGCCTCAACAAGGCATTGAGCCTGTTAGACTTGTGTAGCTCTGAACTGGAATTTCTGCATTAATTTGGGATCTTAATGAGCTGCCTGTGCTGTTAAAAAATAGGGTAGAAAGATCTCCCCATCGATACCAAGGTATTACAGGAAATTTCTGTTTCTGGCTGGACTCATGGTGGAGAAATAAAGCCTTTTCCAAAAAAAATAGGAACTCTAGGCCTATGTCTTGCATGGATGATAATTCAAATTTATTTATGTGGTCTAGCAAACTGTAAGCTGAGCAGTTTACATACAAAACCATTTTTTAGGCCACAGAGACCCATAGAAGAATCCTTGGTGGAAACAGAGACAACAGAAACACCTAACCTGCGGGAAGACACAATAGGTAAAGCTCTCGAAGTCATAGGTATAGGCAGGGACTTCCTGAATAGAATACTGGTTGTACAGGAAAGAGTACCAAGAATCAACAAATGGGATCGCATCAGACTAAAAAGCTTCTGCACTGCAGGGAAACAACCAACAGAGTAAAGAGAATACTTGCAGAATGGAAAAAAAAAGTTGCCTGCTTGTCCTCAGAATAAGAACTAGAATATAAAAAGAACTCAAAAAAATTAGACCCCAGCCCCAAGATCCAATCAAATAATGGGCAAGTGAAATGAACCGTCACTTCACAGAAGAGTAAGTAGAAACAGACAATAAATGCATGACAAAATACTCAGTATCACTGGCCATTAAAGAAATGTAAATTTAAACAACACTGAGATTTCACTTTACTCCAGAAAGAATGGCTATCTTCAAGAAATCAGATAACTACAAATGCTGGAGAGGCTTCAGTGGGGAAAAGGGTCTCTTCCACACTGGTGGGAGGAATGTAAACTCGTTTAACCACTTTGGAAATCAGTATTGGGATTCCTGAAAAAACTGAAACTAGAAGTTCCATTTGATCCAAGCTATTCTCCTTCAGGGTATCTTCCCAAAAGAGTTAAAGACATCATAGTACAGTGACACATGTCTATCCAAGTTTATAGTACCACAATTCTTAGGAGCTAAATCTTGGACATATGCTAGGTGTGGTGCAAGTTCAAGGCTAGCAGGGCTATATAATGAGTCAAGACCAGCCTCAACTACGTAGCAAGACTCTTGTCTCCAAAAAAAATCTTAGAAGCAGCACATCCATACCAGATGAATAGATAAAGAAAATGTGGTATTTATACACTGTGGAGTACTATTCTGTCATAAAGAATGATAAACTTCAGGCATTCATAAGTAAATAGATGCAACTTGA